TACTCTTAATGTGGACGAATACTTTTTGAGCATACAAAACAGTAAGAATTATTCAGTAATCGTACTCTTGTCACCATGAATAGACCTCCGTTATTAATTTTTAATAATTAAGATTTATTGGTTCATTTTCTACTATATGTCAACACTAATGTTTTTCCTTGTCCCCTAAACACTGAAAACGAACCCATTTCTAAGAAATATGCAGGCTAGACGAATACTTTTTGCACCTACTGTAGGTGGTGGTGAATTGTGGTTTAATGCCTTCCGCTCCAGTAGAAGTTTCACACCTGATTGGCGTTGACGGCGACTCTGTAGCTCTTTACTCCTATGAGAAAATCCATTAGCAAACGTCAGACTGTGCGTGAAACATGGCGGACTTTGTACTATCCTTTCACTCCACTGAAAATTCCCATAAGAAACTGTCTAAATTTGCTGGAAGAGCAAATTTTTCGACGGTGCCGTCAACGCCAATTGTTGTTGGATTCGCCACCTCCATCAGAGCGGATGACCTTTGGCTTCCAGCCGTGCAGGGCTTCCACCCATAGAACTTACTTCTTCGCAGTTGTGCTTCAGGAGGTACGTCACCGTAAATCGACTCTAGTCATCGATGATGACGATCACATATCGGTTGCCACTCGGGATGGCGGTCTTCATCGGGCCACACAGGTCGGTGTGCACGATGTCCAGGATTCCAGTCGATTTCCAAGTTCTCTCGATGCTGTGCGTTGGTTACCTTGAGCGAAGTCTCCGCAAGCCTCAGTTGGTACAGGCCGCTGTAACGACTACCAATCGCCACAACGACTGCACTTTTCGTCGTCGAAACTCTTGCTCAATTTCTTCTGTGCCATCCCAACTAACAATTTTAGCTGCAGACTAACTTATACAGCCAAAATTTGCCTTATGTAGCTAGTTTTTGGCTGTACAAGCTGAGCTACAGCTAAAATTGTTTGTTGGGATCTTAGCAACCGAAATCAAACTGGTCGACAGATCGGGCACAAACTTCACTTCACTTATGTATATCTTCATTACATCGTCTTCACCATCTACACCGTAGAGAACACCAAAGCCATAACCTTGGATCTGCGTTTTCTTCCCATCCGCCAAGGTGATCCATCCACCAGCGAACTCCTTCAGCGACGTGAAGAACGAGCGGTCGTATGTCATATGCGCACTCGCGTCGCTGTCGATTATCCAGCACGCATTTTCGTTCCCGACAGTGAACACAACATCTTTGTTGTCACCGTGGGTGCCCTTCGCTTGAGCATTTTTTTAAGGTAGGACTACGTCTGTTATTTCTATATGGGGGTACCCTTTGTGAAAACCAAAAATTGAACATGTAACAAAATTATGAAAGATTTTGAACGTTAATAACTCAGCTGTCCTTGGACCAATTTCAATAACTTTATCACCAATCGATCAGAAATATTCCTACGCATCTGTTAAATTTAAGACTGTATCATTTTTCAAAATGTCACTTTTGAAAATTGCACGAAAATGAAATTATTGCTATGATAATTAAAACTATCACCGTAAAGCGATTTCCCTAACACAGATTTCAAAGTTGAATTCCATCCGGTCTCACCAAACGATGTTTATTCAATCACCGCGTGGTGAGTGGTGGTGTTCCCCAGTACACAACGAAAGGCTATCTGCAAGCAACGAGCTGCAGCCCACATGAGCATCCATAGAAGGAGGAAGAAGCCGCTATTGATCGGAATCAGTAGCCCCTCATGAGTCGCTGTAGGCCATCTATGTCAAGCGCGTCCTACACAAAACATAAGCTCCTGCTGCAGTTAACAAATAAGATTTATCATATAAGACCACGTAGTCCTACGTCACCATTGCGTACCACTCCATAGGGCTGTCCCTTGTAGTTTTTTTTTTCTTTTCTGTATCTCGGTCAAGGGGCAAGACAACTGTACACAGAGTTAATATATTTGCAGTGAGCAAATTTGAGTTACTCATATTTACCCAAAAATAAACAAAGCAGTCTAATATTTTTCATCAAATGATGTTCAAAAAATCGTCGTCTGACAGAATGTTTTGATTTCAAGATGTAGTTTTCATCCATTAAAAGATCCAAGATGGCTCTTGTCCAGGCCAGGGGATGCAAGGGCTCTTTTCTTTTCTATTCTTGCTTTTCATTTGACAGTACTGTGCAATTTACGCTGTCGGAGACCAGCCATTTTGCCCTAGGTTTTCCCCTTCACGACGGGACGCACGTCTTACCTTCACAGCTGCCAAGATACGAAAGAGGCCGGAGCTCAGTGCTGCGCGGTCAAGTGAGCGGATGCGGGGTTGGGCGAACAGCGAGGCGGGCAAGGCACAAGTTGTATAGAGTTGAGTAGGGCTGTGTAGCATGGCTACGGTATATATATAGGGTGGGACCAAATGTAAATAAGCAGAGGATTACAGCTGTAATCATGCGAACTGTCAAATAATAATCACGACCCCACACAAGTACTACAATTCATTTTGAAAGTTTCAACTTTCAAAAGCAGGGAATGGGTAACTTTTGAATTAACAGTTGGTTAACTTTTGTTTTGAAAGTTAATCGCTTTCTACCAAAAAGAACCAATGCAAACTTTTAGTTCTACCAACGGTTTTTTTTTTTAATTCTAGGAACGTTTATTTTTTGTGTGTAGGGATCGATGGCTGTGAAGGGTAATATCTTTGAAGCTTTTGGTGATGTGTTGGTGTTAGTTCTTCCATTTCCGGCTATTTATGGCTACCCTGGAATCAGAAAATAACTGAAGACTCTTCCCAGGAATTCCTGGGAATCGCGAAATGTTTTTATCCAGTGATATAATTTTTGGTAGCTATTTATTAAAATTTGAACTTCGGCAGGATTTCCCCCGGAAATTTTCCGACATTTTCTGAAAGTTTCTTCTAACTTGCCCTTCAAGATTTCGACCGGCTTCTTCGGATGGATTCTTATGATTTCTCTGGGAGGTATCGTCCGCCTTTGTATGGAGGTTTCTTCCAACATTTCCCGGAAGTTTTTAAAACTTGTCCTGGAAGAATCTTCCACATCTTCTCCCGCAAATTTCTTCCATCGTTGAACGGAAGTTCCATCAACTTTCCATTTCAACACTATCTTCAGATTGCCTTCAGAAGTCCTATTGGCTACCGCTGGCAGTGGAAACTATTTTCCATTTCACCCGGACTTCCCATGGGGAACTTTTCTGAATTATTCTGAAAGTTTCATCCGGCTGCCAAAATTTGCATTGGCCTTTTTTTAACTTTTCCAGGAAGACTCTTCCAACTTCACACGGGAATTTCTCAAAAAATGCTTCAGAAGCGTCTACCGGTGTCGTATTCTCAGATTCTTTGCCTGGAAGCTTTCCTGACCTCGCACTAAATATACGTAAAATTATCTCCAGAATTATAAATAAAACTGTTTCCTGGGAACACAAACCAGTTTCCCGGGAGTCGAGAAATTATAAATATGATAAATTTTCCGGGAAAGGGAAATACTCGGTGATTTGGTTTCACGACCAAGGAAGGTGTAAGTTGGCCAAATGTTTTCAGAAGATTATTTTTAGTTCATGAAAATTAATACTCAATCGCTCAAAATCGGTCAAAAAGGATTCTCATCAACAATTACATGCCTGAAATGAGGAAACTCAATATTAATAATAAATATTAATAATCACGGTGTACCGTGATCAGAAACTTCCGTTGTTTCCCCTGGTACTCCTGAAAAAAAGACACGAGTGGAAAATGGTGAACAGGAACGGGTGGAATTTTCATCGTCTGCTGTTGTTGTGATGATCCATATTTAGGAAAAAATTAACATTCTTGAATGCGGTTTTTTTATTTAGCTGTTCATCCCAGGGATTGGCCATCAGAATCCGTACTATGCGGTTCCTAATGCTTGCAGTGCTCGAACGTCATCGGCAGTAAAGCAAAACATCTCTGACTGTTCCGTTAGGTCACCATAAATTTTCCATCGATATTGCCCTTCCATTGTTATTCAGAGTTACTCAAAATAAACTCAGATTTTACTCATGATCAAAAGCTGACTTGCCCCAAGATCTCGGTGCACTTTCACTGTCTTTCTTCGACGCCAGCAGTTTTCTACAGTTGCACCGGATATGGCCGGGCTTCTTACAGAAGTGACACGCTCGCTTCTAGCCATGAACACTTTCCGCAGAACACATTGCTTTCTCACTTTTCGAGGCACTACCACTACCACCGTCCCGTTCCAGCCGCCAATGGTACTCGTCCATCAGCCTGGACTTGTCGACATCCAACGAAATGTCATCATATCTGAACGACTATCGAGAGCCGTAACAAGATTGTCGAACGATGGGGTAAGGCTTCGCAAAAGCATACAAATCTTCGTGTCTTTGTCTAATTCGCTCGAAATAATCGTTCACTTCAAGCAAATGCTGCTTGAGATCACCGCGATCCGGCATATTAATCGCGCACAGTTCCTTCAAGAGGGAATTGATCGTCGATTCGGTGTAACTGGTAGCTCGCCCACGCCTGCTAACACTACCATCCCATAGAGGAAATTTTCCCCTACCTGATATTGGTGTTAGTATGCGTGGGTGAGCTACCAGTTACACCAAACCGACGATCGAGTAATCGAGCAATTAACCACTTCATTCGAGCAGATAAAATGACGCTTACTACCACTCGAACTTTGAAATGAAACATTATTTTAAGATTTTTTCTTCTAGAACCTCGAGAAAAGTAGCCAACATTTGTGCGTTTCACAAAAAATTAGAAATTAGTTGGTCCAGTTTTGTGAAATCGCTGGTAGAAAGTCACGCAAAAACTGCTTGACAAAGTGGTCAAATTGATTATTTATTATAAATTATTATTCGGGTCGCGTGAAACATTTCGAGATTGGATTAAAATTCTGAAACATTTCCTGTTCATAGCCACCCCCACCCTGCAAGGGCGCCCATGCATTGACCATATGATTGTCAACATTGAACCATAACAATGGAAAATAAATCCTACTGGCAACACTGCCCCAGGCGAGCTGTCACTTGCCAAATTCGAAGTGATGATGTGTAATTCTGTGTTTGTTGGATTCGTTAACCACGCAAAATAGCGAATATTCAGCGTTAAAAGTGAGTATTTCCCGGTGAATTGTGCTGTAAAATCGAGATTGGCCATCAAGTCACCGATTGTGGTTAAAATTCTCCGGGAGAAAGTGTTCTCCTGGGAGGAAAATGCGATTTGAAAAGCTGCAATAGGTACCCCCTTCTCCCCGGAGGGTTGACGTCACGGTGGGCATTGCAGTAGCAGCACCAGTTGTTGCAACAAACACCATTTTTTGTGTCGATTACAAGACTCTGATTCAATTTAACATTCCTTGCGAAACGAGGCTTGTGTGCCTCCGTCTGGCGGTGAATTCAAATGGAACGAATGGTGGAATTTATTACGAGATTTTTGAGCTTTCCGAGGAGCGAAAAAGTGAAAGTGATGTTTTGACTCTCTTCCAATATAATGCGATTTGGATCGATCTTGACCTCGATGACTTTATCATTATTCTTCGTATTTTTGTGTGTGTGTTCTGTATTGCAGGAATATGTGTGTTCCATTGTGACTAGAGCAGAAACGATTAAAGTAGCAAAGGAGGAATCATGTCCGGATACGATCCGGGCGGTGGCAATTCCGGGGCAGGGCAGACCCCGGATTTGAGCAGTCTGCAGGAGAATTTCAATCAGCAGCAGGTGAGCCGGATTTCCAAGGATATCGAATAACAGGGATTTATTTAAAATCATTCGTTTCAGGCCAGGATTACCGCTCTGCGAGAGTTGGTCCGTCAGACGGAAAGTGCCCAGGGGAAGAAGACGGCTTCGGCCCAAGAGAAGGTCAAGAACATAGCTCAGCGCCTAACGCAGTACAAAACGAAGGCGACCAAGTCCCGACTGAGTCGTGCGTCGAGTTCGGAAGTTCAGCAGGATCTGCTGACAACCCGGATCAATGAGGAAAGTTTCGACGTCAGCGGAGTGGAATATGAAGAGCAGCAGCACATGTCCCTGCCGGCGATGCCAAGTTCGGTGCCCGTCGTCCGAGCACGGTCGGAGACTCCCGGAAGTGAAAAGTTCAATTTGCTGCGACAGCAGATGGAACAGAATCGACTGAAGATGGCCGCCCGGGAGAGCCACAAGCGAGAGATGGAAGAGAGGGTGATTGAGCTGAAGCATAAACTGGAAAGCACTCAGCAGACGTTGGAAAGATCGGTGGAATTTGGACGATCGACTGGAGATTTGACCTTGCTGACGCCGATGAAGATGGGCAGATTTGAGTTCAACAAGTCCACATCGGATTTGACGCAGCTGGTTGGAAGTGGTGCGAGTTCCAATTTCGACGTCGAACGTCTGAACTATCTGGAGGGCAGAGTCAAAGTTTTGGAGCAAGAATTAACCAACAAAGAGACCGTCCCGGAAAAGGATGAAGTCGTTCGGGAGCTGGAGCGAAAGATTCTGGATCTGGAAGAGGCGCTGAAGGAAAAGGAATGCATCATCGATGCTAGGACCCAAGCCGTTTCACTGATGACTGAAAATCTTTCTCTAAAAGGGAAGAATACGGTCGATCTGCTGGAGGACACCAAGCAGGAAATGTACCGAATGCAAACAAACTTCGTCCAGGCCGAGTCCAACATGAAAGCCGAACTGGATCGGCTACAGGTCGAAGTCGATGAGAAGAATAGCAAAATTTCCAACCTGGAAGAGATGAACAACATCCTGGAAACGGCTCGGTACGATCTGACCGTTGAAAATGCCAGTCTCAAGCAGAAGCTGGAAGACGTTCAGGATTTTAGCACCAAAATCAGCGAACTGAACAAGTTGAACCAGAGTCTGCAGCATCGCATAACCGAGCTGGAAAGCCAAAAATACGACTTCATAACCGACGCTGAAGCCGAACAGGCCAAATTTGGCGAAAGCGACGAAAAGTATCAAGAATTGCTCGACCGGATCCAGGAACTGGAAGAGGAACTCTCCCGCAAAGCCACCCCCGAGGAAGATCTGCTAGAAAAGATTCGTTCCCTCGAGGCAACGATTCAAGCTCAGAAAGAGGAAATCGACAACTACAAACTGCAGCATGCGGAACTGCAGGAAAACCTTCAGGAAAAGACCGTCGAGCTGAACGTCCTGAATGCTAACTTTTCCGTTCTCCAGGAGAAGCTGAAGAATGCCGGTCCGAAACCGCTGTTCCCCAAATCTGCCGAAGAGGAAGCGGAAGTCGAAAACTCCAAGCTCAAACAACAGCTGGACGAAGCCAACAAGAGCATGATCAAATCCAAGTTGAAGATCAAACAGCTCCAGAAGCAGGTCGACTCGTTCAAGAAAACTTCCGCCGTTCATGAGGAAGTCGTTCGATTAACCGACGAGGTGCAAACCCTTGCCCAGCGCCTGGCCGAAGTCGAAGAAGAAAAAGGCAACCTCCAGCTGCATTTGGTCAACTACGATGGATCTCTGCCGGACTCGGAACTGGAAAAGCGAATCAAAATCCTCGAGACCACCTGCCAAAACCAAACGACCGCCATCCAACTGCTGGAGGAGCAAAAGCTCGACATCAACGAAGATCTCAACGCGAGCAAGCACGAGCTGGAAAAGATGCGCGATCAGGTCAAGGAACAGCAGGACCAGGCCGATCAGTCCGGCTCGGTTATCTCCCATCACATGTCGTCGATCGAGACGGAAGAGCAGCTGGAGAAGTGCGTCGCCGATCGGGATGCGTTGGGCGAGCAGATTCAAAAGCTGGAGGAGGAAAAGATCGAACTGCAGCAGAAGCTGGACCAGTACATGGTGGAGAATATCGAGCTGCTGGACCGGATCGAGAAGCTGAGTCTGGAGAAGGTCAGCTCGGCGGAGTCGATCGAGATAGTGGAGGGGCTGACGGCGAAGGAGAAGCAGGAGATCGAGAGCTTCGAGAAGGCCTGCCGGAAGAAACAGCTGGAGGAACCGCTTGGCGGGGTGGATGAAGTTGACAGGTGAGTTGTTGGTTGGCCGAGTGCCAGGCAAAGTAGCGAAAAAAATAATGTTGAATTTTTGATTCGACCTTCTCCGATTTGTATGAAACTTTGCGGCATTGTGATTTTTTTGAAAAATTTCAAGATCCAAAATGGCCGAACTTTAGCAAAAATGTGAATCATTGCCCATAACAAACAATTATGCAAAGTTTAATGCAAACCGGAGTACGTCTAGTCTGATTGATTCGTCATTTGGCGTGGAACTGATCATATTATAGATCGAGGATGGAGATTTTTTAGTAGGCAATGATTATGGTGTTCCTGGCGATCCTATCAACTCTTTATGATTTAGATTATTAAGGGAATAATCCGAAATCTCCAAGGAAATTCCAACATTTTTATAGTTCTGCATTTTGCCAGTATTCTCTGAAATTTTTCAAACTTCTCTGAGGTTCTGCAAAGTTCTCGGAGTTCTGCATACCTTTCTGAAGTTCTATGTTCATCTTGGAAGTACTGCGGATTACTCAGAAGATCTCAGTACTTCTTTGAAAACTTTTCGGAAGTGCTACCTTTCGTAGAGACGTTCGTCACGGAAGTTCTGCAAACTTCTCTGGAGTGGTACAAAGTAAGCTGAAGTTCTGTAAACTTTTCTGAAGTTTCGCAAAGTTTCCTAAAGTTCTGTATTTTTATTTTATTTCAGCGAACTTCTCCTAAGTTCTGCGAACTTATCCAAAGCTTTTCCAACTTCTCTGAAGTTATCTGGTGCTCAGTATTTTTCCCAGAAGATCTGCGTATTACTCTGGATTTCTGCGTACTTCTCCTGAGTTCTACAAACTTTTTTTTTGCCTCGGAAAATACTTTTCTGAATTTCAGCCAACAACGTCATTTTTGCTGAGATCTCAGTAAAATTGATTGGCGACCACTCGGCAGAGATGCGGCAACAAAAACTAAGTGTGCATGAAAGACTCTGAAGCTCAGCAATTTCTCTTTAGTTCCACTGTGATCTACTCAGGAGGTCTGCAAACTTTAATCTTAAGTTCAACGTTTTTCCCTGAAGTTATGTAAACTTTTTCGATTTTATTTGTACTACTCTTTAGCTCTACGAACTCCTGTTAAGTTCTGTTAAATTGCGAACTCTTCTGAAGTTCTGTTAACGTTTTTTTTTAAATTCTGTACGCATTTTTGAATCTCGCCAAACTTTCCTGGAGCTGGAATTCTCCGTTTTTCTTAAGTTCTGTGAACTTTTACTAATTACTGTGTCTTCTGTCCTATGTGCATATAACAGCAGTGAATTTCTCTCAATTCCGGTGGTCATTGCGGGCGACTTTAACGCATGGGCGGTGAAGTGGGGCAGCCACCACACCAACCAGAGAGAGGATGCATCCTACTGGAAGCAATGGCCAAACTGGACGTTGTACTAGCCAAAACCGGCTCGGTCAGTACCTACAGAAGGAATGGTGCAGAATCCGTCATTGCTGTGACGTACTGCAGCCCGTGTTTGGAGGGCAACCTACACTGGAGGGTCGATTAGGGTTACAACCATAGTGACCATCAGGCGATTCGCTACAGCGTGGGCTAGGTGAGAGGCGAGTGGCAGGAGGGAATCCTTCCTGCGCTCGAGGCTGGCCGACGTCGTTCTTTGATGAAGAGGTCTTCGGCGAAGCACTGAGGCGGGAGCGAATAACCCTTGATCTGACGGGGGAAGAACTGATAGCATTGCTGACAAGGGCGTGCGATACAACCATGCCTAGGAGAGCCTATCCCAGGCATGGTCATAGACCGGTGTACTGGTGGAGCGAGTCGATTGCTATTCTCAGGGCGTCTTGCCTCCATGCGAGAAGGAGGATGTAACGAGCTCGTACGACCGAATCTCGAGAGGAACGCCGCGTCGCTCTTCGACCGGCTAAGGCTGTCGTGATAGTAGAGAGTTATGGAAAGACGACTACTTCTGTTGATTTATTTAACTTCAAACTCAAACTCATGGCTACTACGATCTAACATATCTTAATAGAGCTACTACGATCGGTTTGCTCGTTGTTGACACCTCTCCTCAAACTGATCGTGGGAAAACTCCGATACTCGAACAGTGCTTCCGGAACGGCATCGTCGACAAACCTTTCGTCAACAAGTCAGCTTGCTGCTCACCCGTTGGAATGTAGTGAACTTCAAGTTTCTTCGAAGCTACACACTCCCGCACAGAATGTATCTTGACGTCGGCGTGCTTCAAACGCTTCGAAGGTCCGGCTGATTCCATGATAGCAATGGTTGATTGATTATCTTCATATAAAAGTGGCGGCTGCGGTTCGAGCACCCCCAAATCCTTCAAGACCTTGCCGATCCAAATGGCCTCGCACGCTGCGTCTGCTAGAGCGGAACATTCCGCTTCGGTCGACGACAAGGATACGGTGCTCTACTTCCTGGTACTCCAACAGACTGTGACTCCGTACATCTTGAACAGGATTCCCGAAACCGAACGCCTGTCGTTGATATCCGTAGCTCAGTTCGCGTCCGCATAGCCAGTCACTTGCCGGATGGGACCGGTCGACCGGTCGTACACCAGTCCGTGGTCAGCTGTCCCCTGTAGATACCGCAAAATCCGCTTGGCGTGCACCAAGTGATCTTCGGATGGATTGCTCTGGAACTGACTGAAGTAATACACCGCTGCGCTGAGATCTGGTCTGGACGTCTGGCGCCGAGATATGAACCTCTTCAGAGACCCAAGGAACGTGTTCGACGAGAGATCGCTGGCTACCTCGAGATGAACTGCTCGAGTTGAGAGGCACACAAACACCACAATGTACCCCTTGGTGATCTTAATTCCTCGTATGCATGTTGCCTTCAGTTTAAAAGGACCGGCATAGTCTATGCCGACATGTGAAAAGGCTCTTGTGGCTAGCACTCTTGCCGGTGGAAGGGTTCTCATGAGTTGACCAGCAGTCTTGTCTTTGAGTCGCACACATCGCATACATCCCTGCACTACTTTCCGAACTGCGGTCAGAAGAGACGATCCTGCGTGAAAGTTGCCCAAATGCAGATCGCGCACTAGTAGCTCCGTAACTCGATGATTTCGTGGAAGGATTATTGGATGTTTTACTTCGTATGGCTGGGCCGAATTATGTAGACGGCCGCCCACACGCAAGGTTCCCTCTGAATCCATAAAGGGATGCAATGCCGAAAGGATATGCTTAGGTTGGAGACACTTACCCTTCCGCAGCAAATCTAACTCTTGGCCGTATACCTCGTGCTGCACAGCTTGCAACAGATTAGCTTGATATAGCTCGTCCAAAGTCAGCTCTCCAATGTGTCGCTCGCTGGTGCCTTGCTTGAGTACGACAGATTTGAAGTTGTAGATCACACGGTACACGCATGCCAAGGAACGAACCAAAAGTGGAAAGCTGGAACAATTAACGATTAGCTGCTTCTCAACCTCATAGTTGATTATTTTCGTCGTCAGTGTACACAACGGTTTGACCTCCAACGAATCTTCGTCGACAACCTGTGGTGCTGGGCTTCGCTTCCAACAGGATTCATCTTCTTTCAGCCACGGTGCTCCTTGAAACCATAGCTGATTGTTGACAAGTTCATCTGGTGATAGTCCACGCGATGCAACGTCTGCAGGGTTATCCTTGCTAGAAACGTGATTCCAGCAGCTTCGTGGCAGGTAATCCAAAATTGCAGATGTCCGGTTTCCTACAAATGTCTTTCACCTTCGGGGATGCGAAGACTGCCATTGCAGAACGATGCTCGAATATGTCCATGCCCAGTGTTCGATCTGCTGGTGTGGTAAGGCTTCAGTAATCCGACGCATCAACTCCGTGAGTAGCAGCGCTCCGTTCAACTCTAAACGAGGTAGTGACACTTGCTTGATTGGCGCCACCCGAGATTTAGCCGCAATGAGTACCACCGAAACGTTGCCTTGATCGTATGCCTGTTCACCACTTCTTGGAAAAATGCACCGTGGAATTCGGATGGACTCGAGTAGATGAAGATTTTGCTTCACTGCTTGCCATTCTTGCTCGACGGCTGACGGCAACGGGTCGTCCCAGGCGATGTCGGAAAGCCAGAGGTGTTGATAGAGAATTTTGATTTTGACTATTACAGGAGCCAACCATCCGAACGGGTCGAATAATCTGGACGAATCTGATATCATCTGGCGCTTAGTGTTGACACTGTGCGGGGAAAAACTAACCTTGAATGCATATTCATCTGGAGACGGATACCACAGGATGCCCAGTGCCTTCACTGGCTCGTTGTAATCCGAAAGCTTCATATGTACGGGTTGTGCTTCGTCCGAAGAGTGGTTGGATAAAAGATTCTCACAATTAGACGACCACTTCCTTAGTTCAAACCCGGCTGAAGATAAGATTTCGACCACCTGCTGCTTCAGGCGGATTGCTTGTTCCTCGTCGTCTGCTCCGGACAGGAAGTCGTCGACGTAAAAGTCAAGCTTGATCCGTTCCACTGCTTCCGGATAAACGGCTTCGTACGGCTTAGCTGATTCTCTCATGGCTTCGATTGCCAAATACGGGGCTGTTTTCGTTCCGTACGTCATTGTACAAAGGCGATAGTGCTTCAACGGCTTAACCGGTTTCTTCACGGAAGACGATACGAAGATAGTCACGGTCCGCTGGATGTACCAGTACTTGACGGTAGAATTTGGCAACATCCGCAACGAAACTGTGAAGATATCAGCGTTATTGTTTGGTCCGGCCAACAATCTGTCATTGAGCGAAACTCCAGATGATGACACACAAGACGCGTCAAAAACAACGCGCAGTTTTGTTGTTGAGCTGTCTTCCTTGATTACGGGGTGGTGCGGCAAATAGTAGCACTCACCGCTAACCTTCTGAACTTCGGCTACCGGAACCTCCTCCATATGTCCGAGCTCCAAATATTCACGCATGAAGTTAGTGTATTGGTTCTTAAACTCCGGATCCAGATGAAATCGCCTTTCGATACATGTGAGTCGTTTCGTGGCCACAGCGAGAGAATCGCCAAGCGCTGGCTTCGAATTATCAAAG